CAACTCTTCAAGAACGTCAAAAATGGCTTAAACCTAAGAGAAACATTGTTGTGGGTGATATTGTTTTGCTGGCTGAAGGTACTATGCGTAATTCATGGATGTTAGCAAAAATTGTGGAAACTATTTGCGATAAAAATGGTTTTGTTCGAAGTGCTACTATTAAACTAAAGGTGCTGTCCTTAAACGTCCAATCCATAAGTTGTGTATTATCCTGGAGGCAGATATGGAATAATGAGTCTGATTGTAATAGTAAATCTAGTCTTAAAGGTGTTATCTGTATAAGTACCATATATTTCTTATCATAATACGCACTTAAATTATAAGCATGTATTTAGTTTATTCATTAATCATCCCTCAATCATTTAGTATTATCTATTGTTTAGTATTAAGAATTAGGAATGCTTAGTTTTGCTAGTCAGTAAGTTTAATTTGTAGATAAATACATTTTCGTGGATGTTCTGAATTTTAAGTGGCTGTTTGATTCTCAATTATGTAGATGTGATATTTCGTTGATATTAAGTTATGTTTGCTAAGTTTTGCCATTTGTGTTGATCCACATTTATTAATTGGACTAATTGAAATAGTACAATTAAGAGGGCCGGTTATGTATGTTTTCATATTTACGAAACAAAGCGTCAGGCATGCGTGTTGATTGGCCGGTTTGAAATCACTTAAGATCATGAATATTTATTATCTTTAAATACAAGTTAACTTACTGGGCTAAATCTTTTTTTTTTTTTTTTTTTATAAATTTTATTGGCAAAACATATACAATACAGATATCTGTAATATATACAATATAAGTAGCACATTAATATTCATTATAATTTTACAATATCTATAGTTTTATATAGTTGTATAGTCTATGCCATATATTGAACAGAGTTTGTGAGAGATAAAGAAATGGAAACAGAAACAAGTGGACAGCATAAATCTGGGCTAAATCTTAACACGAAAAAAAATGTTACAGTTGGTGCATAATGTATCCTCATTGAAGGCCTTTATACACTAGATCCGACACGGTACGACGTGAACGATAAAGTAAAAGAAATTCTTAAATTTCTATTTGTCGTGTCATGAGACGTTATTTCTGATCGTTCAGTACCCATTATATATTAGTCCATTCAATTTAATTTGTTTCTATCTTTTTTTCTCTTTGTGTGTGTGTGTATATACGCTTTTAAGAACATAATTCTGGTCTAAAATTATCCGACAATACCGACAATCGAACTGTCTAAAAGAAGGCGGGGCTAATTATGACCAATCAACGGCATTTTGTTATGGTAAAAACCAATCAGCTTCGCGTTCTTTTTTGGCGGGAAAAAAGCTTGTTCAATTACTGCGGTATTGTGAACTCAATCACGCAATCTTCATAAATTATACTTACTTATAACCCAGTAGGACGACCAAAACAGGGCCCTTGATTGATGTGGGGCATCGTAGAATATATTTATAAATGGTTCAGTTTTGTTCTAAGTTATGACAAATTTCGTTTTTCTCACAACGAAAATCCCCAAAATAAGTCGAGATGAACTCCCCACATAAACGATATCAAATGCCTTGTGGATCTAACAGTCACGTTATAACATTCGTATATGAAGTCTAAGTAACTGGGTAGTGAGTTGTCGGACTATATTGAAATGTAGACTTGGGATGCTTAACTATAATAGCCTACTTCTTACTATAATATATCTTACTACATATTTGATATATATGATTCTTATATAAGTTTCATATCTTTTAACTTTTAAGAGTAGTCTATGCATTTCATAGTTGTGTGTTAAAAGCGAATTGTATAGCTGTAGGCTACTCCTCAGTTATGTTTTTGGTGAAATAAAGACAAATTCTGTAAACTACTGTAATGAACTTATGAAGATTCTAATCTAATTTTCTTGGTCTTTTTTTTATTATCTTTTTAAATACCAACATTAAATTCTCGTCACATTCACAGCTTAGTTATAGTTTTGTTTCATTTTAACAAACACGAGACAGAATTTTAAGTTGTGTCCTTGCTGTTTAAGATAGGTCCTTTATATCCGAGATTCTTTCGTAAATTGTATTGATAAGGTGCAGCGAATCCTACCCTGTCTGGTGTTTCCAAGGAAAACCACAATAAAGATTCATACTCGTATTAATGTAGGTGCAGCGAATCCTACCCTGTCTGGTGTTTCCAAGGAAAACCACAATAAAGATTCATACTCGTATTAATGTAGGTGTTTGTATTCCAGTGAGCAAATATAGAGGTATCAGAAATTATCCACCGACCATCAAATAAACACATTAATAGCAATATTTGTAGAAGTAATTAAATGTTCTTAAATAGACCAAATATTAACGTTTCATTAGCCTATGTAAATAAGTCACACAATATAGTCGTCTTTATCACACTGGATTCATTGTGCTATATTTACTAATCACCTCTCTATTCCATAGCCTGCAAATCACACCTATATTATTTATATAGTAAATATCACGGGATATCTCTTCCAATTTATTGGGAACTCAATTCAATTAGATATGCAGGAAAAGTTCACACCATTAAGTGCTCAAAAGATTAGGCTAAACAATGCGTGATGTTTTATGCTCTACCCTGTGCTAATGTAATATACATGAACGTAAATAAATCCTTTCTGAAGGCAATTCACGCCACGTCGGCGGAGAACAATATAAATCATTTTTTGAATTAGTTGAATTCAAAACTATATATATGCAGCGCGTTTGTGACAATGCAATCTTGAAAGCGGTTAATTCAAGTGTTGTTGTTGGCACTATTGAAGGGATAGATTCGTCATTTTTGTAGCTCAATCGTACCCTGGTCTCAGAAACAGGAATTATTCAGCTAAGCTAATCGTGTTTGAAATATAAAAGACGAGTCGCTTTTCCTAATTTTTCATTCACATATATTCAAGGTCGTAATCAACCCCTGAAAATCGCAAATTGCGTCCCTTTAACTGTTAAATGGATTTCAAGAATAATATCTAAAGATTCTGTGATATTAATTACGTGAAAATTTACAGATTTCATGTTTTTAGATAATCAATAGATCATAAAGGTTTTCTTTTCATTTCCAAACTGGAGACAGCACGTCTTTTCAATTATATATCAAATACAAAGCAAGCGATTTATAACCTGATGATATATGTCCGATCATTTTTAATGAAAAACAGAATAATATATCTTTTCTGGGAGCAAGAGATTTATCAAAAGGAAACTAGTTTACTTAAAGGCAACTTTCATTTCGAAGTATCTGACATATGTATTCCAAAAACTTGTCTTTTGTCTAATCACGTTTTTTAAATATTTGAGTTTGTATACAGCAAAATATTGGTAATTGGAGTTAATCTTTCATGCAGAGTTTTAATGGAAATGTGTGAAACATAGAAATTCTAGTCAATCCAAACTACAAATGGAGAACCGAGTCCAATATATAGAGATCGCATTTCATTCCTATAATCATACAAGCCCTCTAAGTATAACAACTTACTGGCCGAACAGAATTAAGAAATATTTAAATGAAATAGGTATGTGGGAAATATTTAGTAAAGAATTATCGGAAGGTCGTTTGTTACACTATATATTTTATACATATATATATGATATATTTAAATGTAATGCTATTAGATATTTTGAAAGATGGAACAATGATCTCCAACGTAACATGCAAATCGTGGGAGTGGACAAAATAAGCTACGTACTTACAGACAATTTAAGCACGAGTATGGAGTGAACCATATGTTTTGTATAAAACCCCAGCCCACAGGAGTGCTCTAGCTAAATTTCGAATTGGCGTAGCCCCACTTAAAATTTAAACTGGCAGGTATGAAGGTCTGGTATTCTGTTTCACATGTAAAAGGTGTATTGAAGACGAGAAGCATTATCTCCTTTATTGTCTATTATATGAACATATACGCTCGGAACTATTTCATTATATTAATAATATTTACGCAAATTTTAATTTATTACGTCTGATTTTGATAAAATGTCCATTATTCTGTCTGAAAGTAAAGTTGTGAAGAAAAGCGCCAATGCCTGCTATGATATTCTTAATGTAAGAAAACAGTGTTTGTATATTTCTAGTTAAATATTTTATTTATATTTACTGTTTATACAATTATACATGGTATAATTAGGCATAGCCTTACTCACACACTTCTATAGTGAATCCCTATACGAGTCAGTATAACAATAAAGTAAGACATTTGTCATTCTCTCGGACTATTATTTCATATTATAGTGTTCAAGATAATAAATCATCGTCAAGCGCACTGAGTGCTACTACTAGGCCTACTAATCAGCAGATCTGTACACAATTTGGTTACATTATATGCCTTCAAGGTTAGTTTTTATTGACAGTGTAACCATAATGGATGATTGCTAACTTCCGAGCTTAATCAATCCCAAGGATAAAAGATAAAATTCTACCCACGATCGCCACTTGTCTTGTATTTTATGTTGGAAATATATTTCTCTCTTACATCTGCTGTAGGCTATTGGAAAGGGATTTTCAAAATTACCTTTCTAAGAGGATTGGGGACACATCTATTTGCACCACGCAATTTTCAGTCAGGCTTCTTTAGTTCTTGCATTTCCTCTAAAAAAAATTTCGTTTGACGACGTGACTATCACAATTAAGGCCCTATGATGTTAGCCTAAGCAGCTTTAACATTTAATACCATTACGTAGCCTATTGAAAATGACTGTTTCTGATAAAGTTTTAAGCAACCCAGTAATGTTGAAATAGTATGCTATAATTCTATAAAAGGGGCGACTAGTTTGCAGTTCTATAAATACTCTAAAACACTAAACGGACTAATCGATAAACCGAAATCGGAGTATTACGATTGAACCATTTATGGGCTGTGTCCAGTGGGTAACGCTTCTAAGTGTTTTCCTGGTTTGTATGTTGATAGGGATTGTGCAGTAGGTATCACTATTTGATAATATTGCTTCATGCTTTGTAATGAACTTATAATGTCAAATTACTCTTTTGATATAATTTTAGGTTATTTGAAGCGAATCCAGGTGTGAAACACACGTTTGTCACTTTTCGAAGTGTTCCTTCAAAAGAATTAACCAATAGTTCCTTATTACGAGCTCATGCTTTACGAGTTATGACGATGGTTGATAAATGTGTGTCCAGACTTGACGAACTCGATAAAGTTGAAGAAACTATGAAAAGTCTTGGTAATAGGCATACCAAATATCAGGTGATGCCGGAACACGTAGATGTAAGTAACAAGCCGTTTGAACAGAAAGACATGCTTACTTTTATGAAATGTTGCTGATTGTAGGATTATATGCTTAATAACATGCTGCAACCATTGACCATAAAAATCACTATATGCATAGTTTCTGTTTATGGTTTGTGAACTTTGTGAAATGTTGAATGAAAAATATATTATATTTTCAGTCTTTTCAGAGGTACATGTTTCTCTTGCCATTGGTATACTAAATAAAGGAGGCATTTTAGCCATATTACCTGCCTTCCCTACAAAATATATAACAGAACATATAATAGCCCATATAACACCGCCCAAGGTACTTCGGTTAAAGTAAGTAATTGTTTAAGATATATTCCCTTGTGTTTAGACTGACCTCGTATGTTATTGTTTTCTTTTTTCAGTTAATGGGGCCTCATTTTGTTCAAGCAATTCAGAAATGTATGGAAAGCGAATGGAATAAAGAAACCGAAGACGCCTGGTATCAAATGTTTAAATTAATGACGTTCTATATGAAAGAGGGTTTGAAGTACCATGAGAAAGCTTGAGACATTCGGAACTTATAGTAGCAAATAGAAGTTCACACAAGCCTTATATGTTTACATAAACCAGAAGTTAAAAAGGCATAATGACTCTAATAGGATCAAGTCTATTCAATTAGCGCTTAAACATCACATTTGTTGAACCTAGTTTAGACTTTTGTGAAATAGTACAGACAGATTAGGATAGAATAATATCTGGTAAATCGATATCAATTTTTTCCTAAAAATAAAAGAAGTCTACTGCATTTTCCTAAGCAATACAAACGATTTTACCATAAAAAGCAATGTATTTTTCAATGACCGTATTATCAGTAAGTTGTGTATTGAATAAATGTGTAATCGATTAAACAGTATCGAGAATAAATTGTATCCGATTAGGCAGTATCAAGGTATTCAGATGCATCATGGGTAAATTGTATCTAAGTCAATTCTATCAATTAATTCAGATGCATCATGAGTGAATTGTAGCTAATTCAATACTATCAATTAATTCAGATGCATCATGGGTAAATTGTATCTAATTCAATACTATAAATTAATTCAGATGCATCATGGGTAAATTGTATCTGATTCAACATTATCAAATTATTCAGATTTATCATGGGTAAATTGTATTTGACTCAACGTTCTCAAATTATTTAGATGCATCATGGGTAAAATGTATCTGATTTAACAGTATTTAACATTCTTATTGAGATTAGAGTGGTTGAAAAGAAACCAGTTACTATTGACAAGCAAAGAAACTAGTCACTATTCAACAGAAGGCACTGGCACAGGATTAAAGTTGTGATTAAGTGTGTTTTCATGTTGATATAAAATGAATTAAATCATATATAATATATGGCTGTCATGTATATTATTATAATGGATAATGCATTTACTACTTGGCACCAATTGATAATCAATCAGGACACAGCTTTCTTTTTACAAAATCTTGAAAGGAGCTCGCTGTGGATAAATAAAATCATGATCCTAATGAACCAAAAAAATAAATTCTGAAATATTAAAGGAAAACGATTACTGACTACCTGCAAAATAAAGACAGATCTGAAGAATCATCATCGATAGGATCAAGTCGGCCATGGACAAGTATATCATGTAGATTTTTGTTTTAAGAATAATCTGTAACTAATTTTTTTATAAAAAAAAATAGTGGGGAATATATTTTGTAATTCTGAATAGTATCTTTTGATAATACGGGATTCGTGTCAAGAAATACTATTAAATGGAGTAACAAATGGGATAATTTGAGAGTCGTACTGTTTGTTTAGTCCAGAAGGTGAATTAGTTTCTAGTTGGTTCATCCAAAAGCTCTCCCTGTATAGTCTGGAACTTTTGGGAATTTTAGGTTGTAACATTGCGGTTAAGCAATGTTACGAAAGCACAGGCACAGGCATGTAGGCGTAACCTCTAGTGATAGAGCAATGTTTGTGAAGTTAGTTTAAAAGAATTATACAGAATATTTGAAATGCACATCCATTGTCTTCCGAATCTGAAATATATAAGAATACTGGTTCCAATAGGAACATTAATAACCATGGAAATCATAATAAACATTTTCACTGGTGAAACTGAGGAATTGTTCTATATTAAATGAAAAGGAAAATTCGTATTTCATATAAAAAATATATATAATTTATTAAGTGAAAATAGTATACATGTATGATATTTTTGCGAGGAAACTCTTCAATTGTAAGTTATCATAAATAAGAAATATTAATTAAAGGAAATGTACTAAACCTATGGAAGGGGGATGGGGGGTAATCTACCACGGACTAAGAACTTTTAGGTTTAGGTAAATGATATTCGTACTGCAGGTACAAGAAAGTTGGCCGTTGATAGTGAATTATTAATCGTTATGTTTATTAGAAAAGTAATTAGTTCGCAGGTCCTACATCTTGTAGATCTGCACGACTGTGATCCTAAAGATTGATTACAGTTTATCGATTCCCAATTTCTGAACGAGTTTTGCTTTTAATGCTGCCGAATATCCATGTTAAAGGCCAAAGATAACTTGCGTTGCAAGGTAACATACGCCCACTGGCAGCTGTCAGAAATGATAAAACAGTCTTTAGTGACTAAAGTACGAATTTTCTCATATTGAAGAAATAATGTATGCTGAATAATTCCACAAATTTTTTTAAAATCAATATCAATAACCCAAATACAACAAACAATTAAATCACACAACTCTAATCAAGGGCAAAAAACAACTTTTGACGCATGTTTACAAAGTCAAGGGCAATAACTCAAAAAATGTTCATCAAAAATATCTCTTGTTAGAACTTGTCTGAGATCTTATCAATTCCAAGGATCACACCAAGTTTCATCAGAATTGGTTGAAAATTGTAGCTTCTATTGTGCTCACAAACAAATTTTGACGCGTTTTTCGTAAGTTAAAGGCATTAACTCAAAAACATTTCATCGAAAATGCGTCAAGTTAGAACTTGTCTAAGATCTTATCAATTTCAATGATCACACCAAGTTTCATCAGAATCGGTTGAAAACTGTACCTTCTATTGTGCTCACGATCAAATTTTGACGCGTTTTTACAAAGTCAAGGGCAATAACTCAAAAACCGTTCGTTGAAAATGCGTCAAATTAGAACTTGTCCGAGATCTTATCAACTCCAATGATCACACCAAGTTTCATCAGAATCGGTTGAAAACTGTAGCGTCAATCCTGCTCACAAACTATTTTTAACAAATTTCAACACGTTTTAACAAAGTCAAGGACAATAACTCAAAAACCGTTCATCGAAAATGCGTTAAGTTAGAACTTGTTCGAGATCTTATCAATTCCAATGATCACACCAAGTTTCATCAGAATCGGTTGAAAACTGTATCTTCAATCCTGCTCACGAACTATTTTTAACAAATTTCAACAAGTTTTAACAAAGTCAAGAGCAATAACTCAAAAACTGTTCATCGAAAATGCGTCAAGTTAGAACTTGTCCAAGATCTTATCAATTCCAATTATCACACCAAGGTTTCATCAGAATCGGTTGAAAACTGTAGCTTCAATCCTGCTCACGAACTATTTTTAACAAATATTGACGCGTTTTTACAAAGTCAAGGGCAATAACTAAAAAACCGTTTATCGAAAATGCGTCAAGTTAGAACTTGTCCGAGATCTTATCAATTCCAATGATCACACCAAGTTTCATCAGAATCGGTTGAAAACTGTAGCTTCAATCCTGCTCACGAACTATTCTTAACAAATTTCAACACGTTTTAACAAAGTCAAGGGCAATAACTCAAAAACCGTTCATCGAAAATACATCAAGTTAAAACTTGTCCGAGATCTTATCAATTCCAATGATCACACAAAGTTTCATCAGAATCGGTTGAAAACTGTAGCTTCAATCCTGCTCACGAACTATGTTTAACAAATTTCAACACGTTTTAACAAAGTCAAGGGCAATAACTCAAAAACCGTTCATCGCAAATGCGTTAAGTTAGAACTTGTCCGAGATCTTATCAATTCCAATGATCACACCAAGTTTCATCAGAATCGGTTGAAAACTGTAGCTTCAATTCTGCTCACGAACTATTTTTAACAAATTTTGAGGCGTTTTAACAAAGTCAAGGGCAATAACTCAAAAACCGTTCATCGAAAATGCGTCAAGTTAGAACTTGTCCGAGATCTTATCAATTCCAATGATCACACCAAGTTTCATCAGAATCGGTTGAAAACTGTAGCTTCAATCCTGCTCACGAACTATTTTTAACAAATTTTGACGCGTTTTAACAAAGTCAAGGGCAATAACTCAAAAACCGTTCATTGAAAATACGTCAAGTCAGAACTTGTCCGAGATCTTATGAATTCCAATCATCACACCAAGTTTCATTAGAATCGGATGAAAACTGTAGCTTCAATCCTGCTCACGAACAATTTTTAACAAATTTCAAGGCGTTCTAAGTCAAGGGCAATATCTCAAAAACCGTTCATCGAAAATATGTCAAATTCGAACTTGACCGAGATCTTATCAATCTAAAGCATCACACCAAGTTTTATCAAAATCAGATAAAAACTGTAGTGTTTATAGTGCTCTCAAGAAATGTTGACGGACGGACCGACGGACGGACGGACCGACGGACATATTCATGTGGGCGTATAAAAATGCAAATCTAGTGAATTATAAAACCTGTTCCTTTTTTTAAAGTAAAAAGCCCAGACAGGTTTACCTTTACCACATAATTATTGGCCAAACTAGTTACCTATTAACCTGCAAAATATTATAGTTGACAATTATATACTTTGCGAGTAAATAAATAATGAATATATAAGGTAAATGTGAATCAAAATGACTATCTACCTGTACAGTGGTGTAACCTATTTTCGTGGATATAAGGATTCAACACCGAATTTCGTCAAAGTTAAGAAAAAGAAAAAAAAATGTATGTCTTAGATGTTTCCTCAGATATTATACAAAATAATTAAAATTGGTTTATTTCGATTTTCTTTATGAATCCTTCACTTTGACCCATATTTCATGAACAACCAACTCGGCAATGGCGGCAGAATGCGTCACCTATTTTCGTGTACAATGTTTGATCTATAAATAAGTCGAGAAAAACACGTTGTATGGATACCAGGTGGTATAATTAACTTCTCTTAGTATTTATCTTTAATATCAATTCATTATAACTAGTGACAATTCCTTCAAATAACCACGATCTTAAAAAAAAATAGTGACTGACAAAATAAGATACTTAGCGTGATTTATTGCTAAAAGTCACTGAAACAACATAAGAATATGGTCCACTTTGTGTTCCATAGAAATTTTCTGCTGACACGGAATCCGCTAGTTGATCACGTGACTTCATTCGTTGGACTACATTTTAACATACGACACTTGGAATTCCGATTACCGCTTGGGATTATAAGGAAATTTGGCCAATAAAAAATGGTGACGTTTGGTAATAACTGAAATCCGCCATTTTGTATTTGTCAAAGTATACATTAATACATTTTACCTTGCTTGAAACTACTGAATTCATTCT